AGAAAAAGGATTGTCAGGCATATGAAAAACTTATGAAATTTCATGTGGACAGGTGTACTAAAACGGGCATTTCAGCCTGGGGAAGAGAAGACTGAAAGGGAAAATGACAGCACTTTCCCCATGTCTAAAGGGCCGTGGAATTGAAGAAGACAAAGAGTTATTTTCCCTCCCCCCCAGAGCATAGGACTAGACCTAATAGGTTTAAGTCATGGGAGACGGTATCTTGGTTGAATATTAGGAGAAAGTTCTTGATGGAAGAGCAAATTAGCAATGAAACAAATTGTTTAAGAGCTGTGCTGAGCGGTTATTCACGGTAGGCCTTGAAGGTAGGATAACCAACTGTTGGCGGTACGCTAGTTCTAAATTATTCTGCACTGAACGGGATGGTTGACTAAAGAGTCTGAAAGGCCTGTGACAGATATATGATTCTCTAACTTGGGTCTTATTTGCAACCCAGTGAAGCAATGCAAAGTAAATAGGCAAGAATGCCTTCCTTTTTTAAGGAGGCAGTCAATGGTCCTCTTTTTGAAGTAGACAGTAATATAGAAAACCTTCCTGTTTAGAGCCAAGACTTGGTAGAAGCTAAATTTCTCTTTTACATGGTCTGCTATGTTGGCAGAGGCAGCAGCTATAAAGCAGGTCTGCCTCATTACCAGCATGCTGGGGTAGTTTTTCTTTCAGGGCTTAGTGACACAGAGGAGCAGCAGGAAAAGGAGCAAGATAGGAGCACATGAAAAGTTATTTACCAAGGGCTTTTCTCTGTAGGAATGAGCAGGTTGACATGTTACTTTGGGTTTTACCCAAAGAATGGAGAACACTGCAGTTCCATTCATTCCATCGGGAGGGAATCTAGTACTTGATTAGCTTTCAAATTAATTACTTTTTTCCCTAGTAATGGTACAGTATATGATTTATGAGACCCCCTAAAAAGAGACAAACTATTTATATCCCTTGTGTGTATTTTCATCTAATTTGTAACTATCTTTGTTCTTTATTTAATCATAACCCAACTAAACAGTTATCCAAATTTAAAAAAATTGTAAATACAGTATGATAAAATTCATACAATGCTATCTTCTGATTACTGCACACAAAAGACTAGCTAACAACACCCATCAATCACAGGGACAGATCATCTCCCCTTTTATCATAACAAAAAACACCCTGATCATAGGAAATACCCAATCTCCTGAAAAGAACAAAGACCTGATCCCACAGCTACAAATACTCAACAATGCCATACACTACACCAGAACACAGACAGAGTTCTAGCTCCTGTCCTCTGAAGATGGTGGCTACAGAGACTGGTGAAATGTTAGGAGGAAAAATCTCCAGAACACAGCCAAAGAGCCCAAAAACCCCACAACAACCATCTGATTCCAGCCATGAAAGCCTTTGAGAACATATTATCCAAATGTTGGACTGGAGTCAGCAAACCCAGCATTAAGGACTGCTAGTAATTGTAGTCCAGCAAGATCTAGAGGGTTGTCTTTTGTCCATTGTTGGATTAGACAGCAGGCTAAAAAACATTGTGAAGGAAGTGTGAGCAAAGAAGCACTGAGGAAAATATAAGTCAAAATGGCAGAAAATAGTATTTCTAAAGAGAGAAGATATGGTGTGCCCTGGGCATAAATAAACCATCTGTTTTGCTCAGGGATTCACCATCATCCTGCATGGCTTAGTTTTGTACACCATGGCCACTGCTCTCCAGGGGGAAAGGGGGAGGATGGGGAGGTCAGTCCTACGGAAATAAAACAAGTGCAGCTTTTGCAAAAGGGGCAGCCAGCGATGAACAACAGGCAGACCTTGCAAACGTTTCTGGCAGCTGACTTTTGTTTTGAAGTGTCTGCCTCAGTTCATGGATTGGGTCAACTTTTATTCATGGGTCAGCAGGATAGCCATGAGAGGTCATGAAAGCTAAATCTCTCACTGGGTTACACAAAACAGTAGATAGTTGGAATTCCAGTTTAGCATCTGAGTTTTGACTTCACAAGACAGATGTTTAGGGGGAAGAGTGTGTTGTTGTTTTTAAGTTAATCTGTTCTCCTTGTAACTTTTTATGTGTGCAGTCATAGCTAATTTCCTTAAACTGTAAAATACTTAATGTTATATTTTCCATCACAATCTGTACAATATGATGAATGGAATGCTTATATTGTTTGAGGTAGCTTTGTATCATGCTGCATGTTCGCCGAGGGGTGGAAAGTTGTAATTCTTCCTCATTCTTCATTTAAAACAATGAAGACAAAAGTACAAATCATATGGGGCTACAAAAATAGTTTTCCTGTGTTGGTATAAGACTCTAAATATGAATATCAATGTTTCCTATAAGGGCATAGTTGTACTATAAATGTATACTGATTTTTAGGTTGTGGGTTTCATTCCCACTGTACCTCCCAGTTGGAGAGCCAGCCTGTGAAGCCTTGGGCAAGTTGCACAGTCCCAGAGCCCCACGGAAGAGGGAAATGGTAAACTTTCTAACTCCTTTTACCCAGAAAACTCTCAAAAAGGTTGCCAGAAATTAGATTCAGCTTGATGGCACATAATTAGTATTATTATTAACACTCAGAACTTCATAATTTGTTGGGACTACTAGAAATATTTGTTTGAAAATCCAAAATCGCTTGTCAGAATTAATTTTTTTTTCAGAAAGAATGAATGACTGGCTATTGAACTAGTTTCTTTGGGTATGCCTGAAATATTCATTTCTCAGACTGGCCATTAGTATTCTTATAGAACAGTTCTTCACAAAACACTGAGGGCCGTTCACTAGCCCTCAAGAGATAACTTTAAACTGAAGATATTAGTCCAGTTCTGTTGTAATGCTAAATTTCAGCAATGAAACCATAGTAGTTCATCATGAACTGAAAAGCTGTGATAAGTTCAGAAACATTTGTTCGCTTAACCCACTTGTGGTTTCATTTGAGTCTGTCAAGCTCTGGTAAATTCTGTAACTATGGTTCATTGGACACTAGGCATCTTGAAGCCATGAGCCATTCACCTGGCTTGTTTGAACCAAATTATGATTTATATTTTTCACAATGCTGTGTTCCGATTTTTACTTATGGCTCATTTGTTTGGTTTTCCTAGTTTCCATACTGATCATCATCTCCCCAAAACTTCTTTCCTAGTTTATCATCACCAGCTCTGAGTCCATTTTGGTATGTTTTCCCCCAGTGGGCATCATCGGGTGCTTATTTACATCTAATATAACTGTCCATTCACTCAGTTTAGAGAGATCCTCTTAGAGTGCCTTGCAAGTGTTTGCTGTTGTTGTTCTTACCATCCTGAATAGCTGGGGATCAACAGCCTATAATGGAGGATTCTTAGCTATGGGTACAAGACTAGAAACTAAATATCCAAACCAAATCCCTGTTTTTTGGTGGTTACATATGCTCATGATAGATTAGAAGACAAGAAAGAAAACAAAACCCAGGGATAGACGGGTTTTGAGATCTGCTGTAGAAACACTAAGTTAGTCTTCTGAGAGATTAATACCTGAAGAACAATGATCATGTTTTTTTTTTTCTCCAATGAAATATGAAATGCTTTCATAGATTTGGACCACTGTGACAATGATAATACCTGAAAATGTATTTAGAAATGCTGCTAAAGAAAAGTAATATATTCAGACAACTATTTGTTAGGTTGAAGATGAGACAATTAATAAAAAGCAAAGAAGGAAAGTAATATGCTGAAGAATTATAGATAATAGTTGCATTATGTGACTCAGGACTTTGACATGCTATTGTCTCATTGCATTAAAGTGGAAATGTGTTTAATTAAGATGCACAAACAGATAAAACTTAAAGCACAATGTCACTGCACCGCTACAAGAAATGTCTTAATTATATCTGTCAATGTGACAGTCTCCTAACTTGCATAGACATTGTAGTAGACTTAACATCACAATGGGACTGTGATCCTGCCATCGTTTTTTAGTTCAGATCTGCATGATCTTGCCTAATTATATGTTAAATGGCAGGTCTCAAATTCAATATCATTTCAGCCTATCCATCTGAAGCTAAAGAAAACAAGGTTAAATAAATGATGTCATATTTTATATTTTGTCTTGTGCTGACCACTGCATACCAAGTCATTATTAGGAAAACAATGAGGAATTGTTATAACATAGCTCCAAAATTTATTATTTATTATTATTCATTTAAATTATTTTACCCCTCCTTTCTCCTTAAAAAGGACCCAAAGTGGTTTACATCAGTGGTTCTTAACCTTGGGTTACTCAGGTGTTTTTGGACTTCAACTCCAAGAAGCCTTCACCACCAGCTGTGCTGGCTGGGGTTTCTGGGAGTTGCAGTTCAAAAACACCTGAGTAACCCAAGGTTAAGAACCACTGGTTTACATCATTTAAAAAGACAATATTTAAAAGCTCAAAGTATAGTAATATTCTAAAAGAATTAAATAAATATTATATTAAAAAGGCAAATAAAATCAATACTAAAAACGCATTTAAAAGCAAGAAGGCATGATGTGCATTTAAAAAAAAACATTCTCAGACAGTCAGTCACTAAGGAAAAGCCTGCCTGAAGGCAAAGGTTTTCATCTGCTGGTGGAAGAACAGCAAAGTTGGGGCAAGCCTGGTCTCCTGTGGGAGGGAGTTCCAGAGTGTGGGAGCAGTGACAGAGAAGACTCTCTCCAGCAGACCACCAACATGCCCGTATCACCTGTCAATGCCTTTATCTCTAATCTGTCCCACTTCTTCTGAATACTTCCACACAGTTATTCACCCAGCCCCAAAAGAGCCCTGTCTGGTTAAGGAAAACTCCTTTACATCATCATTCAACTGAAGTAGTGGTGATGATGGCAATGATAGTTAATGCCACACACACGTACGTACACACACAGAGCAAATGATCAAAAGCAACGAGTTAGAATTTGATAGACCAAATAATTCTTGTATATTTGAATGTAGCTTTTGGTGATATCTTCTCTTCTCAGAACCACCAGCTGACCAAACTCTGTTTCTGTCCACTCCACAGAAATTCCTGGATGTCCTGGAATGGTTGAAAGTTGAATGGGCCAAGCATTCCTCCTCATCATCTGCAACAGGCAGAAGCTTGTGAAGAGTCAAGTCCAAGTTCAGCTATACTTCTCTTGGAATGAGGGAACTCTACATTCTTTTGTGGAGAGGTAAACAGAAGGGCAGCTAGTAAGCCAAGACTCCGAGATGTGAAATATCTGGAATGGGCAGTGAATGGACCATAAAGGGAAGGTGGCTACAAGAAATTTAATTCATTCTGCAGAGCTATTGTTTGAACGTAGAGAGTCTGCCTGGCGGAATAATGGAAAGCTGTATTTACAGAAGCAGGAGAAGGAGTTAACACAATCTGTCTCACTCACACTTGTCTCCAGAGGGATCAAATTGTGGGGAACAAAAAGTGTTTGGGAATATATTTCCCATTGTTATTGTTAGCCCACTAGAGGAAGAGGCACCAAACATGAGACTTCCTGGTGAAGCTAGCAAACTGCTAAGACTGGGATTGATTTTCCACACAGCCCATGGTGTTCAAATTTGCAAAGGACTGTGGAAAAAATAAAAAGAGAAACACTATCAAAACCAAACTGGTTTAACAATGTACTTTTGGAAGTAGTGTCTGTTCCTGCAAGTTTTTGGCCAACATCTCCAAAGCAAAGAGACCCAGAAATCAAGATGTGGTGCAACAAAGATAGAAGTGAATCACTGCCCTGCAATAAGATTAAAAACCATCACCGAACTTTTAAAACACAACGTTTATTCAACATTCATTAACTCAGACTTTCAGAAATAGTTTGCTCTAATGATGGCTTTTGTGAAATCTTGTTTACTTGAAAATTACAAGAGATCAAAATTGGCGGCAGTTTCTCTTCCCACCCCCTTTTCTTTAACTTCCAAACAATCACCTTCTTCCCCCATATACATTTCCCAAAGCAGGTTTTCTTGCATGAACACAGAGCTGCCATAGTGTAGCCCAACTCTTAGAGTATTAAGAGCTTTCAGACTGTTTATTCAGCTCACTTCAGGTGCTCCTACTTTGGTAGTTTGCCAGGAGACACTTCAGCCATGCCCGATATTACGAGCGAAGGGAAGGAGATTGCATCAAGCAATTAGGAAGGACAGGCATGTGCTGGAGAGATGTCTGGGTGGAGTTTGGAGGGGAAGTCAGGTGGCACAGTACAGCTTCAGATTAGGGAAGAATTTCTAGTATTGTAATTTTAGAACAGATCAGTACGCTGTGTACATTCAAAACATTGAGATATAAACATTATTCTTAAATGTAATCCTCCCGCCCCCCACTCCATCCAACCTTGAAGATTACACGTAGCTTTAAAATGGTGGAAAGGTTTGTTCATTTGTTTTTTAATTATTAGAAATGTGTCCCGTTAGCTCTAAATGTCTGGCATTCCCTATTAAGCCTTCTAGTACATGTACTAGATGTACCATCTCTGTGGAGTCCAACACTGCCTCAAAGGAAATGATCTTTCATCCTTCACCATTTGTGGCTCCTCTTGGGCCATAAAGCCAAGCAAAGATGCCCGTGTTCTTGTCATGGGCCATGACTAATGACTGTATTGCTGCTGGCTCTCACTGACTGGGCACAAGCACAACCTCTGCTCATGGAACCGCTTTTAGTTCCTGGAACTCTTTAAGTTTGGGGGTGCGGGTGGGGTTAAAGGGTGTGGGAGAAGGAAGGGATTCAGTCTCCACAGCCATGTTCGCTGTGCAGTCTAGACACACTGGGCTTCTACCTGTGCTGTTCTGTAGTTGTGAAGTGTATTTATTTATTGGTTGGTGATAATAATGAAGAACAATGTGGAGATCGCAGAGTTTCTTTGTCTAGTTTCCTGGCCTTCCTTTCTAGGGAGGAGACGGTGATAAACTTCACAGAGCCATGGGCCACTGACTCCACCTAAATAAACCTGAACCTATTACATGACCGGTTTCCAAGGTCCATACAGGAATGTGGGGGCTTTCATTCTCAATTTTTCTTCTTGCTCTGGACCTCCAAAAAAAGTACAGCTGGCACAATTAGATAGCATTTTCCCCTCCACTGCATTCTCTCTCCCTTGCTGCCTTTTCAGTTATGCCATGTCTAACTGGAAAACAGACTTGATTTAAGGCAAAGCAGCCTGGTTAGGTACCCTCATTGTATAGCAGCAGCAGCAGCTCTGGTGGATATAAACCAGACTAGCTTCACTACAGTCACTGTGTTTATCTATGCATATTTCTACCGCTGATGCTCTCCAATGTGCCTTGCTGTCTCATGCTGGAAACCAGTTATGAAATAGGCCACACTGGAACTTGGTTGTGATCCATTACAGCCAAATTAGGTATGACAGAAAAAAACCTGGGACCACATTATTAGAGTTAATCCTCTCCTTCTGAGTCACATTTCTCCACATCAACCTGCTGCTCTACAAGTAAGTATGTTTTCATGCCAAAAGAGAGTGGACAGCTCTGCTTCCTTTCAGAAGCCCTTTCAGGCATTCCCACATGTAAGCTCCACACATAAGAACAGTGAGACAAGTATGCTACCTCCACCTCTTTCCCTCATCATTTGCGTCACTCTCCATACCTGTGGAGTGTTGCTATTTGAGAAGCATTGTTTCTTCATATTTGGAGATAATGCCCTTGAGATTTTGGGGGCACTGAAAGATCAGGATATGGAAACTTCAAAGGAGATCTTCTGGAAACAGAAGAATCTCCCCTCTGTAGCCAACGTCTTGGATACAGGGCATCAAGAATGGTGAGGGAGTGGGTGGAGGTTGGACATGTGTCCCCATGACCCTCCTTGCCTGTGGTGTTGACGCAAAAAACAACAACCTCTGGACAATGCTGGAGACATCTTTTGTTGGTATGTGCTGCCATCTCACTTCAGACTTAGGGTGACCCTAACAAGGTATTTGAGGTATGTGAAATATTCAAGGAGAAGCTTAACTTTGCTAAACCCAGTGACATTTCATGGCTGAACAGAGACTTGAACCAAGGTCTCCTGAGTTCTAGTGCAACACCTTATCCACCTTATCGTACTGGCTCTCACTGCAGATAGCTACTGATCTAAAAAACTTAGTGGGATTCATAACAAAACTATCAGATGTTGGTATACTTAGGATAGAAACAAAATGAAGGCAACATATTATGCACACCATTTTTGGGGCTCGTCAAAGCACTTGCCATGTATATTCTTTCAGCGCAATACCTTTTTAAAGATGGTCAGTTGAAACTTGTAGTCTCCAACAGCACCTGCATGATAATCCAGAAATACCATCCTGGTCCAGAGATCCCATTTTTCACATTGTTTAAAAAGGAAATGTAGTATAGAAATGCTCTAAGATAGATAGATAGATAGATAGATAGATAGATAGATAGATAGATAGATAGATAGATAGATAGATAGATAGAGTGATTGAGTGATTGAGTGATTGAGTGATTGAGTGATTGAGTGATTGAGTGATTGATTGAGTGATTGATTTAGGATGCCAGCCATTCTCTACACATGGGCACACTAGCTGCCAAGAGCTCAGGTGCAGTCATATCTGTTTCTGCTATGTCATAGGAATATACATGTCTTACACAGCCACATCCATTTTTAAATATAGCACACACTGTTCTCTTCCCCATCCAAGCTGCAACCATATGGCTTGCTTGACATTTGCTAAATGCAACATGTGAATGACGTTTTGAGAACTGTCACAGAGCACCTTAGGTTCAGGCAATGCCATCCTGTGGAGCTGCTGTGCTTGTAGTAACAATCATCAATGAACAGAATGTAGCTTCATGATGCTCCTATTCATTCAAATGGCAAAAGAGCAAAAAAAAAAAGTATACTGCTATGAAGGAGGGAGAAAGAACAGCACCAGTAGACATTCCCATAGCTAACATTAACAATAACAATTGTGTGCTATTAAGTCAATTCTGACTTATGGCGATCCTTTTCAGGGTTTTCCAAGTAGAGAATATTCAGAAGAGGTTTACCATTCCATTCTTCTGTGGGCAGCATGGCATGGTGCAGCTTGCCCAAGGCCACACAGGCTGGCTGTACTCACAGGAGGCACAATGGGGAATCGAACTCCCAACCTCTGGCTCTGCCAGATACCTCAACCTCTGAGCTATCTAGCAAACAATTACTATCAGAATATTATTATCCACCACTCTTGGTATTATAAAAGATCATCCCGCAATGTTAGTGATGAATATAAGGGACTCACCAATATAGAATGCCAGTCAAACAACACCATTATGTCACCTGATCTGGAAGTGTGGTGTGCACAGAATACAAGTGGGCTCCCACAAAGACATTACAGCACACAAAAAAGTGTCACAACAACCTCATGTGTCCATGAATAGCACAAATTTTGGCGCTGCCTGCAGCTAGAATCTTAAATCGCATTGTACCAGAAACTATTGTGTGTGTTCATTTTGGTGGTTGTGCAATTCTCTTGTATCTTCCCCACCTTTACATCATCAATGTACATTGAAACAGCATTAAAAATTTGGACAATTTTTTGTGGTTGCATTAAGGTTCTTTCCATATTGTATTTTCTGATGCATGCCATCAAAACAAAACAAAATGAAACAAAATAAATGTGGTATGATTGAACTTTGGGTTTTTTCAAGATTCTTTCAGGAAGTGCTGTATAGTTTTAGTGATGCCCAGAAGCACATGGGCACATTGTTGAAATGTTTCATTAAAAGAATCTTGATGAAATCTTATGGAGCATCATAGCAAGAGCAGGAAGCTCTTTCTTTCTTTCTTTCTTTCTTTCTTTCTTTCTTTCTTTCTTTCTTTCTTTCTTTCTTTCTTTCTTTCTTTCTTTCTTTCTTTCTT